CTATGGTTTTGTTTGCATTGTCTATTGGAGCAGACCAAAAGTACTCATCACATCCCTCTTTGTTGTCGCCATCTACGAGGGATGTTAATTCGACAGTTTCTTGTCATCATCAATTTCGTCTTCCTTTAATTCAAGAAATGGTAAGATCATCTTGTAAATTTTCTTACCAATCTCACAATCAAGGTGCAACTGAGTAATATTATAATAAAGCCTTTTAGCAATCAAACAGAAAATGTTATGTTGTTTCGAAAGCATTAAATTGTCTCGTTACAAATAAATTAATTGATCCCTAGACTTAGACAAATCTGACTCAATCTTCTCTATCCACATGCTCCTCTCATCACTTTTCAACAAAATCCTGATGATTTGATCGGTTAGGTTAGAGTTTGCCAAACAAGTTCTTTTTAAACTATCACTAGTGCTTAAAAATATAAATTTTAAATTATTTAATTCAGTTTCATATCTAGATACAGGTATATTGAGAGATTCAAGAATAAAATTTACCTTGCTTATCATCTGTTCACATTCATTGATCTATTCAGGAACTGGCCTTATTGCGAAGCAGCCATCATCTCCTCTTCCACCATCAGTGGCATACCCCGGTATCTGTGACACCCATTTGTTACCATCAAGCATCTTCCACTGAACTGCGAACTGTCTTCTTTTGCAACCAAACTTCCACTACTCCAAACTTATTCTCATCGTCATTTCCCTACACAATTAAAGCAGGCATGGATTTATTAGTATTCTTTTTCTTCTTAATCTCTTCGAGCTTTCACATGTAATAAGCTTCATCATCTTTTCCTTCTTTCTTCTCGTTCAAGCTTTGCAACATAGTTGCAGTCATAGCCAGAGTCACCCATGAGCTTCTTCTCCTTCTTGTCTTCCTCCTTTTGAGAACCGTTCACACTTTCCTCTTTTACCTTCTCAGAACTATAACTATCCTGCCAGTTTCAGTTCTTGTTGGAAAGAAACTTCTTCTTTTCGAACCGCTTTGGATTTGACACCATTAATGCATATCCTTCATTAGTAAGCTCATATTGTGAAAGATTGTACTAAAAACCATCTTCTGCAACTTTCATGCCCTTCGCAACTAGGGCCTGAGATCCCATTCCTGATACAACTTTCACTTCTTTTGTTACCTCATTTTCACGCGCCTTCAGGAATCCAACCGACTTTGCTAGAGTATAAATTTTGAACTACTCATGCGCCTTGACCGTTGAAATGACTGCCTTCCACTCAGATCTAAGCTCGTTCATAAGTATGACTTTTTGTTCGATTACTTCACGTCCAATACCATGTTTCATCATCTTACTGGGAAAATGATTGTAGTGATTGAATGTTTAACTTAGACTTTCTTCAGGATTTTGTGCAAAGGTACTAAAGTCTAAAAGCAGCAGTGTTTGAGTAGAGTGTTCAAGATATGCCTCAGTGGAGTAAAGCTCCTTGATTCTATCCTAGATAGATTTTGCAGTATCACACGAACTAACAAGACAAAAGGTATCGGCGGGCAAAGCAAATCGAATGATTCTCATTGCCTTAACATAATTGATTACTTTTTCTTTTTCATCTTGTAGAACATCCTTCACATCAAGAAGAAGTTTGTTATAATCAAATTGACTCTTAATGACTCTTCTGGTTCCAGTGTGAACGAAAGCACGTAAAGTGATAACTTTACATATAAGATAACCATTTTCCTCCAAACCAAGAACATAATCTTCAAAATGAAATGCCCATACTTCATATTCATTGGGAAATAGAATGGTGATCCTAGTTGTTGATCCAATGCTGCTAGAAAGATTTATGGAGTTGATGTGAGAATCGTCGTGTTGTATTATGATATTTTCTTTGAAACCTGTTAAGAATCAGATGTGTAAACTCAAATAGTTTTAGGGTAATATCAAGATCACTGAATGTTGTCAAGATAACTATAATGACGACTGAACTAGATCCTATATTAACCGAAACCCTAATAACTTTGCAAACAGAAGAGATGTGTATAGATTACACAATCTCCTACTATGATACCAATTGTTGGGATATTAATCGTAGAATGATCGATTAAATTCAAATAGATTTAAACAAGAAACAGATTGAAATAAGAACACAATGATGATTCAAAATATGTTGAATGATTCAAAAGTCATGCCTCAGAAGAACTCGATGAAGAATTGCTACTGTAGAGGCGTGATTAGGGTTACAAGAAATAATATCAGAGTTACCAAAATATTATGCATGCATGCACCTTAAATACTCTAAACCTAGTAAATAAATATGGGAGGACAGGCCCAACCCATTTACAAAACAAACTATACATAAGGCCCAATGACACAACATAATTATCCTAACACGAAGTAATGGAGGGAACTTCGTAGACTGCCCATTAGAGTGTGTCAGTAATAGACCACTACTAGGTATGTTTGATGTTGTCAGATCATTGCTAGGCACAATTATATAGATAACCACCACTGACTTAATTATCTTCTTGTTGTTGTTGTTTTTACCAACGGAGGTTTTTGGTGGAACTTATTCTGTTCCCCTCATTTGATGTATTTATTGATACTTGTTTGCTGCCAGGGAATTTACGAAGCAACGTCGTCAGTTTGTTGTTCATATTGATCCTATAGGCTAGATCTTATAAGATCGTTGTATAGGATGTATATGTGGGAATCGACGGGATGGGATAAATTGTTTTAGAGATATGATATATTTGTGTTAATGATAATAGTTGGATTTGCAGGTTTGAGATATAAATTATTATCACATTGTGAAATTGAAATCCCTATGTACTCACCATGTTTCCCAACCTGACTCATTCAGTTTATTGTATCACAGATGGCTATATGAAAGATACATTTTGCTGAGAGATTCAAGAAGTATTATACCACTAGTTTAATTATTTTAAGGCTTGTAATATTTCGTTATGCCTTATGTTTTTATATTGACGATGACATCCCAATGTTTTAATATATATAAATTACATTTCTTCGGAAATGTTTTGATAACATCTTTATCATGTTTTATGGAAACAAATTTCACAATACTATTTTTCAAAAATGATATTCTGATTTTTGAATAAGCATAAACAAATCGGTTTTTTTTATCGCCGTGAAAATGGAGATGTCACATAATCAATGTTGTAAAACTCGTCGAGCTGGCCGATTACTCCTCCGAGTACTTCTAATCGGCCCCTTACCGAAGTGAGTTACAAAACTGAGTACTCTCCGATCAACACCTTACTAAAGTGAACAGTGTTATAAAACTCGGCCAACTTAATAATTAATTTGTATAATATACTTAATGATTTATTATCTAACACACACAAATGTGATTATTACTCTCTCTCTCTCTCTCTATATATATATATATATATATATATATATATATATATGTATATATATATCTTAAATTTTCAATAATTATTCACAAAGTGAGATCATTGGGTGTTTTTCAATTTTTATATATTCATATGTATCTACTTTTTTTATATATTTCAACAAACATATAGTTTTAAGTTATGATCTTGACATATATAATTTCCCTAAAAATATTTCTACTTGAATTACCGAATTTGAATAATCCCTGAGTACTCCTAAATACTTCCGAGTACTCGCTACTCGGTAGTTGGCCGAACAAGTATCGAGTAGCAAGTTCTACAACCATGCGTGTAATATACGAGTCTCACATCTAGTAAAAAAAAGATCATTTGTAGTTGATATTTGGTCAAAAGTTGTTTATGCTTATCAAATATAATATTTTATTTTGTTTGCACTTTTTTAATGACATTGAACTAATGCAACAAAAATCCGATACAGTAGAGATTTAAAAAAAAACAAAAAAAAAACTATATTCTTATGAATCCAAAATAAAATATATATTCGATCGAATGCTGCATGTAATGGTTTTTGTTGAGCAGATGCGTGTTTTGCCTATGTTTATGAAATAAAATTGAGAAAATGATTTAGGAGGTTAACTACCTCTTATCCGTATTCACATATTAGCAACTTCTTCTTTTTTGTACATAACAAAGCAACTAACTTGTTTTAACTGTTTAAATTACACAAATATTACCGGCTAATATATGTTTTAACCGGTAACTCAAAGGGAAAATGACTTAGGAGGGTAACTACCTCTTATCCGTGTTCACATATTGGCAACTTCTTATTTTTTGTACATAAGAAAGCAACTAACTTGTTTTAACTGTGTAACATCTCAAAAAATCATGACCACAAAGTTTCCTTTTTAATTTAATACTAAAACCATAATTGTCAAACCATTAATTTAATACTCCGGCATCGGGCCCCGTCTGGCATCGAGCCCCGCTCGGTATACATATATGTCTCTCTTAGGCCCCGCTTGTCTCCGGGGCCCGCCCGCTAAACACATACAATCTTATAACATGCTAACACATAAAGAAACATACTCTACTGTATCTCTGTCCTAAGAAACATACTCTAGTAATAATGAGATACAAAACATCGTTCGTACTCAACTAGTGATGAGATACATGAGTTCGTCCACACTCACCTCTTTACCAGACACATACAAGTATCACACATACAACAAGTAAAATCTAACATGAAAAATTCCTCAGGAACCCGCCCGACATCAGACCTTGGTCTGGAATAACATACTAGCAAACAATGTCTATGGCTAACCCCCGAGTCTTTCTACTCATAGACTACATGGGCTGGCATTGTGGCCTTAGACCCATTCACACAGTGAGGAGACTCACCTTGCACTGTTGAAGCCCTGGCTGGAACTAGCTGGGTACGGACGAAGTTCTGTATCTCATTATTAGCAGAGTATATTTCTTTATGTGTTAGCATGTTAGATGATTCTATGTGTTTAGCGGGCGGGGCCGCCTGATGTCGGGCGAGACCCGATGTTAGAGTATTAAATTAATTGTTTGACAAATATGGTTTTAGTATTAAATTAAAAACGAAATTTTTGGTCATGATTTTTGGGATGTTACACAGTTAAAACAAGTTAGTTTCTTTCTTATGTACAAAAAATAAGAAGTTGTCAATATGTGAACACGGATAAAAGGTAGTTACCCTCCATAGTCATTTTCCCTTTGAGTTACCGGTTAAAACATGTATTAACCGTTAATATTGATATAATTTAAACAGTTAAAACAAGTTAGTTGCTTTATTATGTACAAAAAAGAAGTTGCCAATATGTGAACACGGATAAAAGGTAGTTACCCTCGTAACTCATTATCCCAATAAAATTTGACGACAAGATGCTTTAAATTACCAAATATTATGGCACTTTAGTTTTATTCCTCTATGAACGAAAGCTTGAAAACTGGGAATGAAAAGTGACTTTTTGCAATCTGATATACATATCTATATAAAGTCAAAGTCAACCCAAACTTAGACTTCTCCTTTATCTAGATCGGAACCCTGCACTTTCTGTCTTTCTAGAAGTTGAATATTAATTTTCAATACTCAATCAAACTTGGGATATTTCCAATTGACTAAAGTATTTTCCGGAAGGACCATCGTTAGGCAACAAAGCAACCATAACTGGAGCTTTAGCACCTTCTTCCGGTGTAATGTATCCTGTTTGAGCTGACATATCTGTGATCACATAACCAGGATGTACACAGTTTATAAGCATCTTAGGATATTCTTTCGCCATAAGCCTTGTGTAAGCATTAATGGCAGCTTTCGAGACTTTATAAGCAGATACTGTTAGCGGCCATCCGTTTTCCTCCAGTTTACTGGCCTTCAAGTCCCTCAAAAACCATCCAGTTATCTCATCCACCCTTTCTTCTGTTACGTTCTTCATATCTCTAAGCTCATTTCTCACCTTCTCATTATGAATAAACTGGAATAAAGGGTAAAAAAAATTACTTGCTTTGTTTTTCTTTCTAATATGATGTTTAATTTCATGAATACTTGCAATATTGAGGGGGTGTTTGGGATTGCGGTTGAAAATAGCTTATCTGCTTATTGGCTTTTTGAAAAACTAATAAGCCAAAAAAAGTGTTTGGCAAACTCAAAAGCATTTTTCAGAATGGTTTTTCCATAAGTTTCAATAAGCACTTTTTAATAAGCATGGAAAACGTGGCTTTTTGAAACTGCTTATGGCTTTTCAGCCAAAATAACTTCAAAAAGCACTTTTTAAGCCAAACACTTTTTAACTTATTGACTTATTGACTTTTTCACTGTAAAAGCTTATCCAAACACTTTTTAAAAAACTCTTTTTACCACCACTATAAGCAAATAAGCACTTTTATCTAAAAGCACTTTTCTAGTTAAAAAAGCACTCCCAAACACCCTCTGACTTACGGATAGTTCGCCATAACTGGAAGTAATGTTGACGATTCTCGGGGAGTTGGAGAGTTGGAGAAGAGGAAGAAACGCCTTCGTTACAGCTTTAGTTCCGTAGTAATTTGTTTTTATGCATTCTTCTGCCAATTCATAACTTTGCTTCAAAATATCGGTTAAAAGGTGCGCCTTTTCGTCCAAAACTTGCACCTATATATACGTATATCAACACCAAATCAAATTCACGTTTTAAGATACGACACGTTAATCATATGCAGGTATATATAATGCTTACGAATCCTTCTCCTGCTCTAAATTTTTCTTCGTTTAGGATGATAATGCCCATATGTCCTGCATTATTGACCTGCGCGCACACAAATTATATTTTATTAGTAAACGAAATAGATTGGTTTATTAGTAATAAAGTAATCTTGAAAAACTGGTTTTGTATTGTAAAGTTTGACTGCTTATATATAATGAGGGAGTATTGACCAAGATATCGAGTTTTTTGAAGTGGGCTTTCACAAAATCAACTGTTCGAGAGATGCTGACTGGATCTTTGATATCGAGTTGATGAAAAACAACATCTGGGAAGCCTGAAACGTTGAGTTGCTGAACAACTTTGGCGCCCAAACTCTCGTCTCTATCCGTTAATACTACTTTGATTCCATTGGAGGCCAATTGACGACATATCTCAAACCCAATTCCTTTGTTTCCTCCTGTGACAAGCGCGCATCTGAAATTTAAAAACAAACATCGCAATTCGCTATCGTGAGAACGTTTTTGATAGAGTATGTATGTATGTATGTATATATGTATATGGCTGAATATGAATGTACCTTTTGTCCTCCATTGTTGTACAATCAGTATATGAAGAAGCATAAGAAGGAAGCACCCCTTTTATTCTGGATTGATATGATATATTAATGGATTGATATGATATATTAATGTGATATCTTTTCCATTTAATTTTATTTTATTTAATAGCAATATTATTATTATTATTATAATACATGATGAGACCATGTTGAAACACCCTCCAAGTATGACTTTTGACGAAAAGAAATCAAACATCACCACGTTAGAAGAATATCTGTGGTTACATGGAACGAAATTAGATAAGAATGTTACGTTTTTTTCTTATATAATTAATCTTCATACGATTAAAAATTAAAGGTAAATTACACGGATTGTCCCTGTAATTTAGGGTAATATGTGTGTTTGGTTTTAACAAATTTTTTTTATCTGGGGCCGTTTTTATTTTTTATATTTATTGCACGTATGGTCCATATCGGTGTTAAAAAGACTAATTTACAGGATCGATCTTGAAAAATGAAATATTCTTAAAAGTTCAGAACAAAAAAGAAAAAAATAATTCTTATTTTTATTATAATTTTGTATCATTAAATAAAAATATATAATAAAAAAAATTAAACTCCATCTTTATTATAATTATGTATCATTAAATAAAAATATATAAAAAAAATTAAACCGTTCACCTCTTCTTCCGATAATCCTCCACCCAACCACCTCCAACCCCTTTGTCTTCTCCAAGACTGCCGAAAAACCACCACCAGTAACAAATGTTTCACCGAAGAAACCACGAAAAGATACCAACAAATCTAAAGGAAACCCGGAAAATCAAACCTATCGGAGAAATCGGATCGGGAAAACATTTACAGAAACCAGATCACCAGAGAAGGTGGAGGAAGCCGGAGAAACCAGAGAGTCCGATGTCGACACCCCCGTAAAAAGAAAGGCGCACCCCCCCCCCCCCCCCCCCCCTCTCTTCTTCATTGTCACAAAAACTTTCCCTCCACGAAAACTGTTGAAATACCATCAAGGTTAGGTGTTACGGTGACACATGAGATTTCGGGAACCAATGGAAGGGGTGATGGTGGTGATCAGGTTCTATTGTGCAAAATCACCACATCAAACTTCTTTCATTTTAATTTTTGAATATGATACTTTAGAAAAAAAAAATCTCAAATTAGGGACTCCACGAGATACAACATAGTTAGGTTTGAAAAATCAACGACTTTTTTTTTTTGGGTTTGACATGGATTCTGGAACATGAATTAAAGATGTGTTTTTGAAAAAAAAAAATCTGGATTTGATGGAGGCTTGTAAGAAATTAGGTTTTGACTTTTTTTCTGGTTGAAATCATTGATTGAAATCAGTTTTTCCAGGTTGAAATCATAGACTGAAATCGTTTTCTTTTTCCTGCATTTGTTTCACGTCTGTTACAAACCTGATTTTGGTTTTTTTGAGTTGAAATCAATTTAAGCATTTGATGCAAGTTTGTTAATAATCGGGTTTTGATGTTTTTCTGGTTGAAATTCAGTTTTGGTTCTTAATTTTTTTCGGCAATATGGGCGACAGTATAGTTGGAGAAGACAAATCTGGCGTTAGAGGAGATGAGTTGCAGGAGATGAGTGGGGCCTATTTAATATTTATAAATATATAAAAAAAAAAAATTATAACCAATTAATATAAAAATAAAAAAATTGGACAATGACATATTATTCTTTTTAGAACGGACGGAGATCAAGCTTGCAATAAAAATAAAAATCGGGACGGTCCGAGTTAAAAACAAAAGTTGGTACGACCAATCACACAGATTACCCTAAACCAGAGAGACAATCCGTGTAATTTACCCAAGAATTAAATAGTTACAATAATAATAGAATCGACATTGCATTACGGGAAAAATTGTAAAATGATCAAAAAGAGGGGGATGTTTGAGAAAAATGACCAAGAAATTTTGGTTTTCGGAAAATGACCACGAGTTCCGCAGAGAGGAGCTCTGCGGAAGTCGTTAAACTCTACGGAAGTTGTTATCCTCTGAGGAAATAAGGTGTGAGAGATAAATTAGTAAAATTGCAAAAAGAAACGAAAGTAGATCCTAGTTCGAAGAGGGTGGGGTGCGTAATGAAGCTATCTCTGCGGAAGAAGTTGAAGTTGATCGGAAATTAGCCTATTTGGACGTTGCTGGAAACCAATGTAATTGTTAAGAGATCGTGAAAGAAGCAGTACCTAAATGAAGATGTGTTTGCAGATGGATATGGAATCTAGGTTACTTCATCATCTTCCTTTGTAAATGTCATTGAAACCCTGGCTAATAAAGGTCATTGGAACATAGCTTAATAGTTTTATAGTTGAAATGTCATAGATACGTGGTGTATGGAATTGAAACCTAGTTAAAAAAGCGTATAAAAAAATCAATTTTAACCAACTTTCAGCAAAGAAAAGATCCACAGAGCATGATCAATGAAGAACAGATACGCTGAGAGGTACTCTATGGATCCTTTGTTCTCTACTCTGCGAAATTGGTATTTTTTTAAAAAAATGGGATTTGTTTAAAAGTTATTGATTGATGAATCTTTTAATTTGACCACTTGTTGGTTTCATTAAGCAACTTCATTTATTTATTTTTCCAAATAAAAACCCTTTTGTTTGATAATTTCAAAAATTCTTTATAATTTCTTAAAATAATGCTATATACTTCTTTTGCATTGGTAATATATATATATATATATATATATATATATATATATATATATATATATATATATATATATATATATATATATGTGTGTGTGTGTATGCTATCGTTTGTAGCATAATATGTATGAATCGGCTACACAATTAACTTTTAAAGGGGTGGTGGGAACATTCTTGAGGAAGTTCATTTCAGGACTCAATACTAGCTGAATGGAATTATTTCGAGAAAAATTGCTTAGGAAATTCATCAGTATGCTCATCCCGAATGGTGATCCAATACTGTGTCATTTGATGATGTTGCATAAGGTTTGATAAGCTAGTAGCCAGGGCTAGGAGGTTTTAGTTCAAGTTACAAGGGATGGTTGTGGAATATGGTGAAACCGAATTTTGTTTGATAACCGGTTTGAGATTTGAAATAGCAATGCGGAAGTTGGTTTGAAAACTCAACATTTTTGTCTTATACAAATTTCATAAAAATCATATTTCAAAATAAAATTCAATTACTTAAATCGAACAAAGGATAGTAAGCTCCGTCTTCGACTCTTCGTATTGCCTCCATTGGTTTTTGTGGCTTGCATCCCTTGGCTTTCTATCTTGTAAGTCCCTTCGTTTTTTGTCCCGTAAGTCCCTAAATTTTTTGTCGCGTAATACCCTTGGTTTTCTATCACACAATACCCTTGGTTTCCTGTCGTATAAGTCCCTTCGTTTTTTGTCCCGTAAGTGCGACATCCCCATTTTCACGGCCAAAAAAGATCGATTTTGTTGATGCTTTATAAAAATCAGAGTACTTCTTTTAATAAAAATGTTGCAGAATTTTTACACAGTAAAACATAATAAATACGTTATCAAAGCATTTCCGAAGAAATGTATTTTTATTCATTTAAAACATCGGGATGTTATCGTCAATACAAAAACATAAGTATAAACAGAACTTACATTCATTATCACTAGTGATCTATATCTCCTTAATCTCTCAGTGTAATGTGACTTCATATCAACACCTGTGATATAAATAAACTGAGTGGGTCATGTTGGGAAACCTAGTGAGTACATAGGGTTTTCAACCTACAATAATATAATTATTATGTTTAATCATCAAACGGTTAACCCAATTACCCATCCTCATTATCTTCTTTACTCTTAAGGATCTACCCTAAGAATTAGGTATTTCACGTTCATTCATTCCTAAGGATTATCCTAAGGAATAAGTACGAAGTCCATCGTTGTCAATGACACAACTATCAAGCACAGCTGCTAGTTCTATCACTTAGGTGCAACTGCCATAATTGGGACATTCTCTATGAGGCGCAGCTGGCAGTATTGTCCTTCGAGCACAACTGCTAGGGTTATTTCGTTTATTGATAGTAACGTTTTCAAGAGTCCACTCGCAATACATGTCAATGGGTTTTTAGAGTACACCGGTGAACACGTCGTTCACAACACCTACAGGTTGCGAGCCTATTAGTGTTCCACTGGACTGTCTAGATTAGTTTGTGGTTGTCATCCATACTCTACTAGATGACGGGGCCAATATTTGGGAACAAGGCTTCTCACATCGTCCACCTCTCACCCTTTCCTCATGGTCTATATCACCTCTTAACTCATCATCCAACTCATATTTCATTAACACATGTTTTACCCAACATATTATGTAGATATAAATACATATACAATTTAAATCGTATAAAACTTGTATGAAATCGTTTATCCAGCAAAGATAACAATTATACAGATAATATGCACACATAGCACATAGTTTATATAAAATAATCCATATCTATGTGTAATATGAAAGGGATCATGCACTCACTTGAAAAGGTGGTGATTCCGACCTCAGACAGTGTTGCGCTTCTTAAAAATAATTTTCTTCGACGAAACCTAGTATTATTACCACTAGAGTTTAGTCTATTATTCACCGAGACTAATTAATAGTCTAGCTATTATTACTATTGTATAAGCGTTAAACAATACTTATATAACCCATAACAATAGCCCAAGTACTTATTATAAGTTCCTAATAACGTTACTATAATTAAATAAAAGCTATATTAAAAATAGCGTAGGCGTAGCTCACTTACAACGGGTTTTATAGAAAACTGGGCTTTGCTTGGAGCAGCGTTCCCCAAGCCAAAAATATCATCTTCTCGCAGCCGTCAAGCACTCCAGGGATTCCGCCTCGTGATAGGGAGGTTCCCTAAGATTTTCGGGGGGTTTCAGGGCTAGAGAGAGGTTCTAGAGAGAGAGTAAAGAAAAGATAGAATGGGAAAGGTGTGAAGAAAATGAGGGTGGGAGAGGTTCTATTTATAGGGTGAAATATGGCTGAACTTTATGCAACATGTCACCATCTGGTGGCAAGACTTGGGGAGAAAGCAATGGCAAGATTGTGCCACGTCACCCATTTTCGCATAGCACACTTCCGACTTCTAAAATACGTAACTTTCACATACGAGATCCATTTTTGACGTTTTTTATATCCACGCGTAGGTAAAAATAAGATCTACAACTTTCATTTTGACTCCGTTGGCTAATTCTTGACCGATCTTAAATTTAATAGTACGAGAAGATTATATTGTTAAATGTCCGCGTAAAAGTCATAACTTCTACATACAGACTATGTTTTCATCTGTCTTTATACCGTTGAGTTCCTATTAATGAGATCTCAAATTCTCATTTAGGTCGCGTGGGCCAAAAATGTCTCGATCTAAAATTCGAGTTTCGGGGTGTGCACTGCTAAGCCAAATCTTAGAAAATTCATATCTTCCTCATACGAAGTCAGATTTTGGCGTTCTTTTTTTGTATGTTCTTGGTTTAACGTATACTAAAACGTTTTTTTATATTTCTAAAGCTAAAAATTCCTCCATTGTAAATTCACTATTTACGTCTCCCGGTATCGTGCCGGTTTTGTCGTAAAACTTCGACGGACCATAACTTCTTCGTTATAACTTGGATTTCGACGTTCTTTATATGTACGGAACCCTTGAGACGTATTCTACAACTTGGTTAAGATTATTTATTCTAAATAATCTTTTTTCGAAAAGTCATTTTCGACCCCTATTATCTCTAAATTGACTAGCTTGGATCTACGGATTACAATTATCTCCCCCTTAGGATGATTACGTCACAGAATCATCAACAAAACAGGGCTCACATGATGACTTCATATGTTATCTCT